ATATATATATATATATATATATATAATTATTTTAATGAACATATAATTATTTAAATCATTTTATTTAACAATGATTTAAAAATAATCATTTTTAATTCATTGTCAAATAAAATGATTTAAAAACAAGCAAAAAAAGTTTATCTTATACAAGTAAAAAATAATATTTACCGCAAGGTTGCTCCACCAGTGTCCGATGTCTCTCCAAGACCTCCTCCTCTCAGAATTGGGTTGACATCCTCTCGCACAGGACACTCGCGTAAAACACTCGCGAATAATACACTATAATCGCGCGCGGACTATAACTTGAGTCCGATAACTTGAACGGCACTCCCGAAGTAAAACGCGCGACGCGACGAACCGGCTGCGATTCGTTCATTTTCAAGTAAATCGGCGACGAGGGTACGTTAGCTTCCCCGTTGGATTTTTACACGAAGAGAACGATTTTACTCAAATTTCTAAAAATTTATCTAGATATATCATTTAGACAGATCCGAAAATTTTTAGATATACTTGAGAAAACCGTTCTTTTCATGTAAATATCCTCTGGGTACTGAGCCCTCCCACCACGTCAAGGTGTACCCGTGAGAGGGAAGATGATCTGAAAAATGTAATATATAGCTATTATCTATATTACTATGCAATTACTATGCAATCGGTTAACTTTTAAAAACGAATATCAAACACACGTCTGCAATTCGTTATCATTGTAAAATAAATTCAGAGCAGATAAAAGAGTTGAATCTTTTATTTATAGATGATGTCTGTAAGATATAATTAGAGTCAATGAAATGGGCCAGAGATTAATAAAAAAGAGAAATGTTTCTTTTATTGTCGATAAATTATTTCAAAGTTACGTTTAATTTTTAAACGGATCATATAACGAAAGGTGCACAAAAAAACAAAAAATTAATTTAATTACTAAACTATATTAATTTGTAAAAGCAGGAATTGCGTTATTTGCAGAGTATTCATATTAACGTTGCTTTTTTATGACTCGTATGATACCGTTCGTACAGACAAGTAGCCGTGTCGCATGCCGCTCTTCTTCACATTTCATTTTGAAACATAATAATCGCAGAAAATGCTAGATATATTACAAATTGTTGTATTTTATGAATATTCACATAATACGATTACTAGTATGATTAATTATTCATTAAGTACAACGTTTCGTATTATATTCTTCGCGATAAGATTTCAAGAAGTAAAGTGAAAAAGAGCCGCACGCGACACGATTACCTGCTTGTACGAACGGTGGTAAGAGAATAACTGCGCGGTAACTACGCGTAAACATGATGACGCGCCGCTCCGTGCCACCCCTTGCCGTCTCCGCCTCAACGCCGCGCGCCAACCGTCTAACTGTTGAAATACTAACGTATATTACGAAGTAAAATAATATATTCTTTACATTTTCAATGTTCTCCAATTAATGAAACAATTTCCTATATGTATCTAGTTTTAGCGGCGCGAGTCGTTTAATGTGATATAATTATATTATGAGATACACCGAGGAACATATTTAACGTTCATTTTATAATTTTAAATATTATTTATCTGTTACTTTTCCCGTATCATAAGAATGCGGAGTAACACGAAAATGGCAGAATTATACGATTCAAAGTGATAAAAAGCCACAATTTGAAATATCTAACAATAAGAATCTCATTTTTATACCGTAGTACATGTGAGAATATATGAAATATCTAAAATATTCATGAGCTGTGTATGTGCGTAATGAATCTAAGAAATAAAGCAAAAACCGTGCAACAAAACCTGTTTACCCTTAGTACACTCCTTAGTTTTAGGCAATCTTACGTAATTCGCGTTCGTAGATATCTAATTTTCATTAATTAATGCGACACTCGGAGCGACTCGTAAGTCGTAAAACGCGTCCGTCTCCCTCCGAAATCGCCGAGCGAATGCCAAAGTGATGACGTAGTCAACCACCGCGCCGCGCGGCACGCTTGACGCTCCCTCTCCCCTCGCTGTTCGCCGCGTGAACCCTTCGCCCCTTCCCTCGCCGGGCGCCGTTCGAATACCCAATTATTGCGTGTAAAAAATATTCACGGTTTATTCAATTATTCGTATTTTATATGATTTTGATAAATCATATAAATTTTTTGGCATCTCTTACACTTGTTAAATCCTATATTATTTGCATGGTTCTTGTAAACGTAATCAGTAATTGTTTGCGTGTGTGGGGTATTTTTGATTCGAATATTATGTCTCAATTTTTATTATTTAAATGATTCATGCTTAAATAAAGGTTGATAATATTCTATACATCCTTTATAAAGATATATGCAAATTTTCTTAATATTGCGAAACAATTTGCGCTCAATACAGCTTTGGTTAAAAGTATTAAATATCTTGTTAATCATTATTTAATTTTTCAGCTAAAAATTAATTTATGACACTACTATTGCTGCAAATTATTCTGTGTTTCAAAAATTCTTTAAACTTACGTATAATGCCAATTATGGCTCAGTAAAATAACTGTTAAGATTTATTTAAAATAAAAAATATAAAATAAGTTTCAGCAACTTATTTAAAAAATATAAAATCGTAGGAATCGGTAAAAAAATGATACGACTTATTTAAAATATTAAATAAGAAATATGTTAGAAGTGTTGTTATTTAAAATAAAAGAGTTATACTCTACTAGTAATTAAAAACGGATTGAAAATTTGCATAAAGAAACATAACTTCGTAATATTATAAGATAAATATTATAAGACAAAAATCACAAAATTAACTTATTTGAATTTTCAGTTTCGTTTATTAAAATTTGGCAACTTTTATTACATATGTACGAGATGCGAAATTTAAATTTTGTTGTTCAAAGACCCATTAAACTTCCTATAGATAGTCGGCATGCTTCTGTCCTGAGAATTTAGTACAGAGACGAACCACATATCTACTCTTGACGATACGATTTTATCGAGTGTCAGAAAATGTATATAGTAACGTAGTTCTCAAATTGAAAATGGATGTACTGGCGGTAGTGTACGAGCGATTTCGACGGTAACAGCAAAAAACCGACATGACCTCTCTCAGGTTTCTCTCTAGTAATACATATAAAATATATTATATATATATATATTTACAATTATCTAAAAAAATTTGAATGATGCAGCTAAAATGAACAAACGTACAGAGATAATAGTCTTTTATTAAAAGAAGAAAACAGATTATTAATTTAATTACCATAATAATGGAGCTATACATAGACTTATATTTCTATGTTTTTCTGCACTTCTTTTTATGCTTGAAACGAGATAATTATATATGTATATATTGACGTGTCAGTAAAAGGTTAAAACTAAAATGCTGAAAGCACGTCGACCATGAAAAGAATATTTTAGGTGCTTTCCATTTTCTGACACAAACATATCATTCTATCTTGACCTTCAGTGCATCATTTATCTTTTCAAAATAATGTACATATTGATAAAAAGAATTTACAACAAAGAATATCCCAATA